CTCCTCCTCTCCCTTCTCCTCCTCCTCCTCCTCTTTTCTCTTGCATCACTTCTCCTCTCTTCGCTCCTCCTGTTCTCTCTTGCTTCCCTTCACCTCTCAACTTCGGTCCTCCTCTTCTCTCTTGCCTTTTACGTCGCTTGCCCCTCGCCATCCCTGGAGGGTTGCGATCTGTGAAACTGTCGCCACTTTCGAGGGCTGCTGGGGGGCCCAGCACAGTGACGTCTTACGGGGACTCAGATTAGACCTCGCCATCGCTGGGGGGCTGCGATCTGTGAAAATGTCGCCACTTTCGAGGGCTGCTGGGGGCCCACGAGTATGACGTCTTACGGGGATGGAGATTAGACCTCGCCATCCCCTGGGGCTTCCGATCTTGAAACCGTCGCCACATTCGAGGTCTGCTGGGGTGGGGGGGGGGGGGGGGGGGGGCAAATAGACGTCCCCTACGGGACTCATATTAAACCTCGCCATTCCTCTCATTCCCCTGGGGCTGCGATCTGTGAAACTGTTTGCCGCGTTCGAGGGCGCTGGGGGGGGGCCAGCACACGTGACGTCCTACGGACCACTAGACCTCGCCATCCCTGGGGGGCTGCGATCTGTGAAACTGTCGCCACTTTCGAGGCCTGCTGGGGGGCCCAGCACAGTGAGGGCCACGGGCGGACGCAAATTAGACCTCGCCATCCCTGGGGGGCAGCGATCTGCGAAACTGTCGCCATTTTCGAGGCCTGCTGGGGGGCCCAGCACAGTGAGGGCCACGCGCGGATTCAAATTAGACCTCGCCATCCCTGGGGGGCTGCGATCTGCGAAACTGTCGCCACTTTCGAGGGCTGCTGCGGGTCCCAGCGGAGTGGGGTCATACGCAGATTCAGATTAGACCTCGCCATCCCTGGGGGGCTGCGATCTGCGAAACTGTCGCCACTTTGGAGGGCTGCTGGGGGGCCCAGCGGTGACTTCCTTACGGGGACTCAATTAACCTCGCCACTCCCTGGGGGCACGATCTGTGAAACTGTCCACTTTCGAAGCTGCTGGGGGGGGGCGGGGGCAGCACAAGTGACGTCCCGACGGGACTCAGATGAAACCTCCCGTTCTTGGGGGGCTGCGATCCTGTGAAACTGGTCGCCAACTTTCGATCTGCTGGAGGGCCCCAGCGGAGAGGCCCATTAACGGGCCCAGATTAGACCTCAGCCACCCTGGGGGGCCTGCGATATGTGAAACGTCCGCCAAACTTTTCGGGGCCTGCTGGGACCAGCACAGTGGACGTCCTACGACTCAGAATAGAACCTCGCCATTCCTGGGGGGCTGCGAATCTGCGAAACTGTCGCCACTTTCGAGGCCTGCTGGGGGGTCCAGCATAGAGGGTAATCGCGGCAGATCCAAATTAGACCTCGCCATTCCTGGGGGGCTGCGATCTGTGAAACTGTCGCCACTTTCGAGGCCTGCTGGGGGGCCCAGCACAGTGACGTCTTAAGGGGATTCAGATTAGACCTCGCCATCCCTGGGGGGCTGCGATCTGTGAAACTGTCGCCACTTTCGATGCCTGCTGGGGGGCCCATCACAGTGACGTCTTACGGGGATTCAAATTAGTCCTCGCCATCCCTGGGGGGCTGCGATCTGTGAAACTGTCGCAACTTTCGAGGGCTGCTGGGGAGGTGGGCACAACAATGACTCCTAGACGGGGATCAATACTAGACCTCGCCATCCCTGGGGGGCTGCGACCTGTGAAACTGTCGCCACTTTCGAGGGCTGCTGGGGTGCCCCAGCACAGTGACGTCCAACGGGGACCCAGATTAGACCTCGCCGTCGCTGTGGGGCTGCGATCCGTGAAACTGTCGCCACTTTCGAAGGCTGCTGAGGGGCCCAGCGTCGCCACTTTCGAAGGCTGCTGGGGAGCCCAACGCAATGACGTCCTACGAAGATCCAGATTAGACCTCGCCATCCCTGGGAAGCTGCGATCCGTGAAACTGTCGCCACTTTCGGGGGCTGCTGGGGGGCCCAGCACAGCGACGTCTCACGGGAACTCAGATTCGACCACGCCATTCTTGGGGGGCTGCGATCTGTGAAACTGTCGCCACTTTCGAGGTCTGCTGGGGGGCCCAGCGGAGTGACGTCTTACGGGGACTCAGCTTAGACCTCGCCATCCCTGGGGGGCTGCGATCTGCGAAACCTTCGCCACTTTCGAGGGCTGCTGGGGGGCCCAGCACAGTCTGCACCCGCGGCGGACTCAAATGGGACCTCGCCATCCCTGGGGGGGCTGCGATCTGTGAAACTATCGCCACTTTCGAAGCCTGCTGGGGGGCCCAGCACAGTCTGCACCCGCGGCGGACTCAAATGGGACCTCGCCATCCCTGGGGGGCTGCGATCTGTGAAACTGTCGCCACTTTCGAGGCCTGCTGGGGGGCCCAGCACAGTGAGTACCCACGGCGGAGTCAAATGTGACCTCGCCATCCTTGGGGGGCTGCGATATGCGAAACTGTCGCCACTTTCGAGGCCTGCTGGGGGGCCCAGCACAATGGGTACCCACGGCGGATTCAAGCTAGACCTCGCCATCCCTGGGGGGGCTGCGATCTGTGAAACTGTCGCCACTTTCGAGGCCTGCTGGGGGGCCCAGCACAGTGATGCCACACGCAAATTCAAATTAGACCTCGCCATCCCTGGGGGGGGGGGGTGCGAACTGTGAAACTGTCGCCATTTTCGAGGCCTGCTGGCGGGGCCCAGCACAGTGACGCCTCCCAAGTAGCTTACACATCATGTCGATTGTCCATACAAGTTTCGGCCAACTCCTCGTTTCCATTGATACACATGGGTTGGGTACGTCACAGGGTAATTTGCACAGTCGGTTCCCTCAAGTGTTTTGATAGTAATATTGAAGCTACGGACCTGAGCATTGGACTGGCAGACGCGGCATAACCCACTACGCGTGAGAAAAATACCGGCTCCTAAAACGAATTTTCAAATTTTGCACAAACATAGAAAAACCGACCCCAAGTTCCCACATTGTCTCTTTTGGTCGGGTCTGCCAACTAGCTCCACCCTGCGCCCGAATTCCTCTTAGCTCATCTTGCCGAAGAGCTCTACGAGGTATTAGACCTCGCCATCCCTGGGGGGCTGCGATCTGCGAAACTATCGCCACTTTCGAGGCCTGCTGAGGGGCCCAGCACAGTGGGTACCCACCGCAGACTCAAACTAGACCTCCCCACCCCTGGGGGGCTGCGATCTGTGACACTGTCGCCACTTTCGAGGGCTGCTGGGGGGCCCAGCACAGTGGGTACCCACCGCGGACTCAAATTAGACCTCGCCATCCCTGGGGGGCTGCGATCTGTTAAACTGTCGCCACTTTCGAGGCCTGCTGGGGGGCCCAGCACAGTGACGCCACACGCAGATTCAAATTAGACCTCGCCATCCCTGGGGGGGCTGCGACCTGTGAAACTGTCGCCACTTTCGAGGCCTGCTGGGGGGCCCAGCACAGTGACGCCACACGCAAATTCAAGTTAGACCCCGCCGTCCCTGGGGGGCTGCGATCTGTGAAATCGTCGCCACTTTCGAAGCCTGCTGAGGGGCCCAGCACAGTGGGTACCCACCGCAGACCCAAACTAGACCTCCCCATCCCTGGGGGGCTGCGATCTGTGACACTGTCGCCACTTTCGAGGGCTGCTGAGGGGCACAGCACAGTGGGTACCCAACGCAAACTCAAATTAGACCTCGCCATCCCTGGGGGGGCTGCGATCTGTGAAACTGTCGCCACTTTCGAGGCCTGCTGGGGGGCCCAACACAGTGACGCCACACGCAAATTCAAGTTAGACCCCGCCATCCCTGGGGGGCTGCGATCTGTGAAATTGTCGCCACTTTCGAGGCCTGCTGAGGGGCCCAGCACAGTGGGTACCCACCGCTGACTCAAATTAGACCTCCCCATCCCAGGGGGGCTGCGATCTGTGACGCTGTCGCCACTTTCGAGGGCTGCTGAGGGGCACAGCACATTGGGTACCCACCGCAGACTCAAACTAGACCTCCCCATCCCAGGGGGGCTGCGATCTGTTAAACTGTCGCCACTTTCGAAGGCTGCTGAGGGGCACAGCACAGTGGGTAACCACCGCAAGCTCAAATTAGACGCCGCTTTCGTCCTTGCTCTCCTCCTGCACTCACCTTCCCTCTGCTGCTGCCGTGCTGATGGTTCGGCTTCCCGCACGTTTTTATCCTGCTCTGCGTTCCCGACTCCCCATGCCCTCTTCGAGCCTGTAGCTGTCGCCCCTCGTTCTTGCATGGTTCTCCTGCGCATCATGCTATAGGCGCGTGTCCCAAGTAGCTTACACATCAAGTTGATTGCCCATGCAAGTTTCGGCCAACTCCTCGTTCCCATTGATACAAATGGGTTGGGTACGTCACAGGGTAATTTGGGGGGGAGGTCGCACCCCCGCAGACTGTAAAGACACAGAAAACGACTAGATCATCTAAGACAGGACAACACAATCGAAGGAGAAAAAGAAGAAAACGGATAAGGCTAGGAAACAGAGACAGGGGAGGAGGATAAGGATACCACATGCAAGGAGTAAAGACGGGGCAGGAGAAAGAACAGGACATGCAGAACAACCACACTGTCGCTGACCCAAGCAATTCAGCCTCCGCGCGCGCATGTCAGACTACTCAGGGCGCCAAAAAACATGCAGGAACACGGGTGAGGATTGGCACTGGCGCGCGCACTACGAAAACAATCATTTTCTTAGAGTGCTGAAGCCATGTCCCGGCGCGCGCGCGTGGAAATACCTCAGATGTTTCGAACACGCTCGTAGACTAGGCCAACTCATCTCTCGCGCGCGCAGACAAGCCATGTACCAAACAAACGCACGATGGTAACTTATGTTTACAGATACATGCAGCTATATGTATGTGCGTATACAAAAGGGGCACATCGCAAAAATCAAAGGGAGAGATACAGAGAGAGAGAGAGAGAGAAAAAAAAAAGAGAGAGAGAGAGAGAGGGAGGGAGAGAGCCAAAAAGAGAGCGGCGCCTCCTCACGTTCGCGCTGTTTCCTCTTATCCTCGTGGGGAGGCCAGAACGGGGGGAGGAGGTGACCCACAGGATCTGCTGGCGTATGCAGATGACTACAAGTTCAGGCTGCAGCGACTCGTGGGAGCCTCACATGCCATCTTCTTAGCTCTTGCGAACCGATGCGCTAGAGCCGTGCTCATCGACGCCGATCGAAGCTGATCTACGCTAAGCCGGCGTTACATCGTTGAGCACCAAGCGCCAGTCATCGCGAGTGAACTCTTGAGACGGATTTACGAAGGTGCAGTCGGACCTAGGGCAGAAGAGCATCCCTCAAGATCATGAGCCACTCGCCAGCCAAAGCACGCAGAATGTTCCAGGGCACCCTCCCCACGAGGTGCAAGAACATCCAACAACCACGACGAACATCAGGGCACGCGCCCCGAACGGACCTCGATCTCATACCTCGGTCCGGCCGTATGGCTTTCAGCCGAACCAGCACGCCACGCGGAAGCCCAAAAAGAAGAGCCGAACGACCCACGACGAACGCTGCAGCGCCCGGCCCCCCTTCCGCGCTGGCGAGAGAGCACGGGTCCGAGCGCCGGGCCGTTCCGCCGAAGGGGGCGCTCACGGCCCCGGCGCCCCCCCCACTCTTAGGTGCAGAGCTCTCTCTCTTGCTCTCTCTCTCTCTCTCTCTCTCTCTCTCTATATATATATATTCCTCTTCGAATATTCTTATAGCGGGAACCCCTCCCTGACCCCCCCCCGTACATCAATTCGGCCATGGGCGCTCCCACCGAGGTCAAATTCGAAGTTCGGTTTCGGGAGCCTCTCCCGGCCATCCCCGGACGGCCCCGCAAAGCCCCAAGGCGGCCCAAGACCGCTCCAGAACGGCTCATGAGCGCTCAAGGAGGCCTCAAGGTGGCTTTCAGACGGCCCAAGATGCTCTCAAGACGCCCCAAGCGGCCCCCAAGAAGACCCCCAAAAGGTCAAAATCGTGTCATTCCCTTCGGAAAACGTACACTTTTAGCATATCCGATTGAATGGCCTTCACCGCGTCCAAGAAGGCCCAAGAGGCCCATCGCCCCAGGACGGCCCAAGAAGTCCCCAAGGGAGCTCCAAGACAGCCCAAAAGGGCTCCAAAACGACCCAAGAGAGCCCCAATACAGCCCCAAAGAGCACGACAAGGCTTCCCAGAGAGCCCCCAAGAAGGCTGCAAGAGGGCCCCAAGAAGAACCAAGAGCGCCCCAAGACGGCCCAACCCCCCCAGGACGGCCCAAGAGGGTCCCGGGACGGCCCAGGAGGGCCGCCAGACAGCCCAGCAGAGCCTCAAAAGGAGCCCCACGGGAGCCCCGAGAGGCCATACCCCTATTAGCCACATGAGGCCTGTCGGCCGCACAAGCCCTACGACCACTATGGTGCCTCATGGTGCCCCATGAGCCCTGTGAGGCCTGGGAACCCTAACACCTCCAGAGCTCTCACCCCCACACGCCGCGACACCCCGAAGGGCACCCCCAACTCATAATCCAGATCACGGGTGTGCCACCATGGACGGTGCTGCGGCATGCACACGTTGGCTCTTCACCTTCGGTCGAGCGGTGAGGCGGCATTCACACGTTGGCTCTTCACCGTCGGTGAAGATCCCTGTGGGGTGCGGCCCATGTGAGGGGACATTCGGCACACATGTGGTGACGTAGCGTTCTGCGGATCCTCCCAGGAAGACGGATCACAAGGGCCCCATGAGGGCCACGAGACGGCCGAAGGTGCCCCACTGCGAATCCTCCACTCAGAGCCGCAGGTGAAGCCCGCTCTCCTGGGGGAGAGGCACGCAAGGAGAGGAGAAGGAGCAAGGAGGTCGAAGGAGGGAGGAGGAGGGAAACAGGAAGAGGCTGGACGAGGAGGAGGAACGTAGGCCTCGTAGGGCTCATAGGGCCGATTGGGGTGAAGGGGCAAGTCGGGGCCATAGGGCTCATTGGGACCATAGGCCGTATACGGCTCACTGGGCTCGCTCCTAGGGCTCAGAGGGGTGTATCATGGGTCTCGCAAGGCTTCACGGCTCACAGTGGTGCGGGCTCATAGGGCGCATAGGCCTCATAAGGGGTCATCGCGCTCATATGGTGTCATGGACATTGAGTTCATGGGGCTCTTGGTGCTCGTGAGCTCATAAAGCTCATAGGGGCTTGTAGTGTTAATAGGCCTCAAAGGGCTCATCAGGCTCATGGAGCTCGGAGAGCTCATGGGCTCGCGCAGAGCTCTTCAGGCTCACTGGGCTCCTAGGGCTCGTTGGAGTAATAGGGTTCGTGGGGGTCATAGGGCTCATTGGGCCCATAGGGCTCACAGAGCTCATAGGGCTCATAGGGCTCATAGGGCTCATGAGGCTCATAGGGCTCATAGGGCTCATAGGGCTCATGGGGCTCATAGGGCTCATATGGCTCATAGGGCTCATGGGCTCTTAGGGGTCACCGGGCTCATAGGGCTCATAGAGCTCATAGAGCACATAGGGCTCATGGGGCTCATGGGGCTCATAGGGCTCATAAGGCTCATAGGGCTCATAGGGCTCCTACGCGCTCTGTTAGCGCTATGGGCCCCATGGCCCACAGGAGCATTGCCAGCTCCATGAGCCCAATGGCCCCCAAGAGCTGATGACTCCGAGGAGCCCCAGGACCCTTATAAGCACCATGAGCCTCCTATGACCCCCAATGACCTCTGTGAAAGCCACTCAGCATTATGAGCCCCGTGCCCGATGTGCACAAACAGTCCCAGGACCCCAACGAACCCCATGAGCCCTGTGAACCCTGTGAGTCTCATGACCCCCTGGAGCCGCATCGGCAGCATCACCCCTCGCCTAAAATGGGGGCTCCGAACCCCTGGGCCCCATGACTGCAGAGTCCCTTCTGAGCTTTCTGAGCCGCAATATTCCCTGGATCCTATCAGCCCTGTTTGTTCCATGGTCTCCGTGGCCAGAACACACCGCGGCTGTGACGACAACCGATCTCATCGCGCCTCCGCGGCGCCATGCGACCAAGATTTTAAAGGCAAAGCGCAGCGAGCCGGTAATATCTTGTGTATATATATATATATATATCCACATACGTAAAGTGAAGGTCTACGCCGTGGGGCAGTGGCACCCCTGGGCCAGCCGCTCCCCTGGTTAGAATGTAGAGCATGGTGACTTTTCTGTTCCCCGCAGCACCTGGTGCAGGTGATCAGACAGTGTGCTCCGCGCGCTGTCCTACAGCCACTCGTTCAGGTCAGGTCAGGTCATGCCGTAGGCTGCGGCGCGCGCCAGGAGATGCGTCGAAGCTTGGGCGAACAAGGAGAGCGCGCGGAGCCCGGTCTGGCAGGGTCTGCCTGGGAGGTCACAACAAATGTATGGCTCGGTTTCTGGTTTCTCGCTTGACCTCTATTGGCGGCGCGCCCCGCCGAAGGGCTCCTTACAATCTGCCCGGCCAGTCTTCCCTGAGAGGTCCGCGCAATCTGCATGGTTTGGCCTGGCTTGGGGCTTGTGTCGCTTAAGAGAGAGAGAGAGAGAGGGGGGGGGGGGGGGGGGAAAAAAGCTAGAAAGAGAGAGAGAGAGAGACAGACAGACAGACAGACAGACAGACAGACAGACAGACAGACAGACAGACAGACAGACAGACAGACAGTCAGACAGAGAGGTCCTCGCAATGTGCTTGGTCTGGCATGGCTTCGGGGCAGGTTTCGCGTGAGAAGTCTTCGCAGTTTGTTTGGCTTGGGGTCTAGCTTGGCGTGGTGTGGGGCACGTTTCGTTTGGGAAGTCTTGACGTCCTCACAATTTGCCTGGCATGGGCCCTCGTGTGGCCTTTTGGGCGTGACGCTCCGAACCTATCGTAACGTATGTGTACGTCTGTACACATCACAACTGTGTTGTATGTGTATATATATGTACACACGAGATTTTAAGGCTCGCTGCGCTTCGCCTTCCAATCTTGGCTCTTGTACCTGGCAGGCGCTTGGGCGTTGCATCGAATATCCACACTGAGCTGATCCTGGAAACCCTGAACCCCAAAACGTCGTCATCTCTCGGGGGCGCATCTGTTACGTCCGGCGCCTCCCGCCAGCCTTCCGCCAGCCTCCGCCGGCGGAGGCGGCCTCGTCTTACTTCCGCCGTCTTCCGCCGCCCTGCCGCTGCCTTCCACCGAGGAAGAGATGCCAACTCCTTCGGTCCTCGAAGGCGAGGCCCTCTCTGGACAGCCTCATGTCCGCCGGCCCCCTTGTGGGGCCACCAGGCTGTAGGCCGAAGCTTCGCAGTTTCCTGCACCAGTTGCAGCTTCCAGTTTCCACTGTTACAGTTCTGCTTCTTGCTGCTTACTGTTCCTTGTTGATGGACCGCGCGAGGGGGGAGAGGCCCAAACGGGCAGGTTTAGCACGCCCTGAGAGTGTGCTCTGAATTGCTGGGGTGGGTAACAAGTGACACCCCTCACGCAGATCGGCGGGGTCAGGGTCCAAAGACACACGGGATTTGCCACATTTCTGAAATTCGATGGCACCCCTCACGCAGATCGGCGGGGTCAGGGTCCGAAAACACATTGGATTTGACACATTTCTGAAATTTGCTGGCACCCCTCACGCAGATCGACGGGGCCAGGGTCCAAAAACACAAGGGTATTTGCTACATTTCTGACGTTCGGTGGCACTCCTCACGCATATCGGCGGGGTCAGGGTGCAAAAACACAAAGGTATGTGCCACATTCCTGAAATTCGCTGGCACCCCTCATGCAGATCGGCGGGGTTAGGGTCAAAAAACATAAGGGATTCGCCACATTTCTCAAATTCGGTGGCTCCCCTTATGCAAATCGGTGGGGTCAGGGTCCAAAAACATATTGGATTTGCTACATTTCTGAAATCCGATGACACCGCTCACGCAGATCGGCGGGGTCAGGGTCCGAAAACCCAGAGGATTGTCAACATTTCTGAAATTCGGTGGCACCCCTCACGCGGATCAACAGGGTCAGGGTCCAAAAACAAAGAAGATTTGCCACATGTTTTAAAATTCGGTGGCACCCCTCACACAGATCGGCGGGGTCAGGG